GTTCCTAATAGCACTCCACATAATGACAAACCCCAGAAAATAGCCTACATATTAAATATTAAAGGAATGCTTAAGTAAAATCATGGTGTTTTCAACCCTATGGAATATTATGTAGCTTCGAAAATGATAGTCATGTCATGTATCAAATGAAACAATTCAGAAACTTGAAAGTTTTTGTTGAAAGTTAAGTATCTCAAGAAATCAAATTTTTTGGCGGGAGGAGGTGCGGGGGACTGTGAATCCAGGGCCTTGAGCTCACTAGGCAAGCCTTCTACCCCTGAGCTCCACATCCAGGCTCAAAAGAGCAAACTGTAAAATATTTAAGGATGATGTAATGTCACATCCTTGGGTTTGTATCACAGATTTTCACAAAACACAAAGAAGCAGAACAACTCCAAGATGACGGTGGGAAAATTCAAACTTGTAGAAGTCATTTTACCTTTTCAAAGGCTGTTCTGAGAAGACACAAAATATACTCTTAGCGCTGAGGAGCGACCTCAAAGGCATTCTGCACACAGGGAGCAGCCAGATGTCTTTGGAATGCTCTGAGGAGAGTGGCTTGTGTGCTGAAAGCAGAAAAGGATTCTTAAGGGTTGCTAAGGCGCAGCAAACTGCCCGCGTCTTCCATGGAAAATCCCTTGGGAGCAGGAAAGTTATTTTGGAACAAGATTTAAAAATCATAAAAGAGCAAATTTGGCTGTCCTCAAACCCCCTCCACTGACAATGGGCAAAATGTCCTTCTTTTTAAAAAATTTTTCAGTACCAGGAATTGAACTCAGGGACACTCAACCACTGAGCCACATCCCCAGCCCAATCTTGTATTTTATTTAGAGACAGGATCTCACTGAGTTGCTGAGTGCCTCACTTTTGATGAGGCTGGCTTTGAACTCATGATCCTCCTGCTTTAGCCTCCCAAACTGCTGGGATTACAGGTGTGTACCACTATGCCTGGCTTTTTTTTTTTTTTTTTTTAATATTATTTGTCAGTAGACCTTTATTTATTTATATGTGGTGCTGAGAATCGAACCCAGGGCCTCACACATGCTAGGCAAGGGCCCTAACGCTGAGCTACAACCCCAGCATGAAAATGTCCTTCTTTAAGTCAAAGGAGGCCCAGGCTCTTAGTAATGCTGTAGTGGTCAGCGTTGCCCTCTGAGGTTGGCCATGCCACCCAAGGATGACCAAAGAGGACAGACTCTAGAAAATTGGCCAAGAAAGACAAAAAGATTCAGTGAACAAATTTGGGGAACAGGCTAAAAAAAAAAGAATGTTCCAGAGGCAAAGTTTGGGACAAGCTTAAGAGCTGAATCTTTGATGAGGCTACTTGTGACAAATGATAAGCTTAAAACCCCAGCTATGGTCTGAGAAACTGAAGATCCAAGGTGGTCTCAAGGCACAGAGCTCAAGCTATTTACACCATGAATACCAAGGGCAGAGATGTCCCAGAGGCTGGGGAAAAGGCATAAATGGGCCCAACTGACTTTACATTTGGAAAAACGAAACTTAACGTTAAGTTAAAGGAGGGGAAGGGATAATTCTGTCTTTTGTGTCTGCCTTAAAGCAGGTAGTTGGTACTAACAGTGTAAAACAAAATTATCCCTTAAATTCCAGGTGCTTAATTCAGCTGATTAACGTTGCTCTACTGAATGGCCAGTTTCAGGATGTCCTAAGGTCACATCTGGTATCTTTGGGCTACATTAGCTCAATTCTTCCATGTTGGAAGCAGACCAAAAGTGTGAAGGCATAGTACCATACTGTTTTCAACTTTCTCAGGAGTGAGGAAATAGTTAGATACTTAGATTTGCATGAGGTATCGTAGTTGCACACCCTGGATAGGGGGAGTTTACGGGAGTGTGGAATGTCAAAGGGCCAATGCATTAAGTCAATCTGCAAACCCAAAAACAGGATTTGCTTGGATCACCACACTAAGGTGCGAACACACACACACACACACACACACATATCCTTACCTCAGCGCACACACATGACTATTGTTCCAAATCCATGAAAACTTTGACAAAGACATTTTCACATACAGATATTATATTTCAGGACAGGGCTTGGAGAAGGAACACACGATGTAGCCTGAACTTCAGGCTGAGGTGCAGTTGGAGGTCCAAGGCAAGAAATGTGATGAAAGAAACAAGGAAATGTTAGAAAAGAATGTGGCCATTCAGAAATCTAAGAGGCATGCTCAAATGAGAGAATTCCTTGATGAACACTGTTCTAGGAAGTTGGGGGTGCGTGTTACAAACATCCAAATATTTAACAACCCTGTGTGGCTCGGCCACAGGAATAAACACCCTGCTGGGGTGAATCCAGGATGGCAGGTGAGAGTCGGCCAGCAACCCTGTGTGGCAAGCTGGTGTGTTTTGAACAGAGTTAAAAGGCAGGGTGGGGGTGTAATGGAAGATGGAGCTACAAAGCAAGAACATTTTTGTTTGCTGGTCTTGGGGAAAATATTTCCATGGAGAAGGCTGACTGACCACACACTGTTATAGGGAGCCTCTGCCTGGACCCATGGGAGACAGAGAGCCATTTCGGCACTGAGTAGGGGAGCCTGTCGTGAGGGTGTGGTGCTGCCTGCCGAGTGAGGAGCAATAAAGCAAAGCTGTTCCCACACCACCCAGCCCGGAGGACACTGCACAGTAGGAGCTACTTGAGAAGGAGAAGCTGCATTGGAGGGAGGATTTAGCTCACCTTAAAATCGACCCAGACTGCCATATGATGCCCTTGGGTGGTGTTTCCATAGATGATCTTGGGGTACGTGGCCCATTAGATGAGAGGGAATCAAGTGCTTGCTAGATGGATGGACGTGTGTGTGTGTGTGTGTATGTGTGTGTGTGTGTCCCACTGGGCCGCAGACCCACCGTGGGTACTAATTTTGGCTGGACAATGAAAGCAGACACCCAGGCTCCTCCCACCCAGGGTCCAAGGCTCCCTGGTACCTGAGCTCTAGGACTGGGTCTAAGCAGCAGCCACAGGCTTGTCCCCTCTTCCTCCATGTCTTCTTTCCCATCAACCTGCAAGTTAAGGGCCAACATTCCCTTGACGCCAGCTGAGAAACAGAGCGCGGAAGCTACACTTGGAAAGAAGATTGCTTTTTACTTTATTTACAACAGAATGTAAGAAAAAGTAAGTTATAAACAATAATAAATAACTGGGGAGGGGGATGACACCGTACAGCCATAAGACGACACAGGATGGCACATGTGAGTGTCAACTTCCAATTGCTTTGCTTGTCACCTGTAACACTTGGTCCTTCGGCAGTGGCAGTGGTATTTTGACTAATGTAACCAATCAGGATCCCAGCTCAAAATGTAAGCGCTAAAAATTACACTTGAAGCTACACAAGCGGCACAGGATAACATAAACTCAGAGAACCTCTTCCTAGAGATACAAAGAACTGAAGTGAGATGGCCAATCCAACAGACCTAATTTCAACTGAAACAGGCGGACACATCGAGAGGCTTATCCTAAAGCATTTGTTAACTTCACAACAACATTACAATTAATAATGGCATCTGAGAAACTCAACATACCACATTCTGTTACTGCACTAATTCCTACGAAGCTTAAACACATTTCAGATACAAACAGATTGTTTTGAAGGTAGAAGCCAGTATGTTTTGCCTTGGCATGCCAACTCTGTGTGCTATTGTGTGCTATGTGAGTTTGAGCAAGAATGAACAGTTTAAAAGTGTACTGATGATCAGGTTGCAGTCATTGGACAGCAATCTTTTTTTAAGAACTATGTTTCAGATGGCAGATTGTCACCTAGACTGTCAGATGATCAGAAAAGTACTAAAACCATTTAGACAATTCCTCTCTATTTGAATTATCAGATTACACATTTGATACAGAGTCAGTTACACTTTGGCTCTTCTCAAACATAAAATTCCTATTGACCTAAGCCACTCAGTGACCTATTATTTTGTTGTCTCTAAGCCAGGGGGAGAAACTAAAGAAAGGATTTATTTATTTATTTAAAAGTAAGTAGACATATGTCTTTATTTTTATTTATTTATTTTTATGTGGTGCTGAGGATAGAACCCAGTGCCTCATGTGTGCTAGGTGAGCGCTATACCACTGAGTCCCAGCCCCAGCCCCATATTTATTTGTTATTTTTATGTAGTGCTAGGGATTGAACCTAGGGCCTTGCACACTCTAGGCAAGTACTCTACCACTGAGCAGCATCCCCAGCCCAGCAAGAAAGTAGAATTTTAAAATATTCATAAATAACAATCATCCTGAAACTTTCACTGAAAATGATTTATCAAGATTTGTCAGCATCTATTTTCTTAGTTCACTATTTTACTTTGAAATAAAATCATACAATTTACTCTTAGGAGTATTGTTGGGTTGTTTAAGTGTCTTCATTATACATCCACGACTGGCTGGTACTTACTTTCACAACCCAAAACATGGCTAATATATACCTCCAAACAAATCAAAACCATTCCCCCCCACACATAGATGCAAAACCGTAACAGAAGCATTTATCAACGAGTTCACCAATGAACTCCTATGGTTTCAGGGATAATGGTGGCAAATAAAAGTGTCACAGCCTCCTTCATTCTTACCCTTTTCTTTGCTTTGTCTTTCTATAGCTCAAAATGAAATGATCTTCAGAGGTGACTTCTGACAGAGTTTATGCACTAAAAATAAGAAGACCTCTCTCTCTCTCTCTCTCTCTCCCAGGAAAGCACAGCCAAGGCAAGAATGCTATGCTACAGTCAACAAAAACTACAGACATTTCACACTCAAAACCCATTCAAAGTAATGGACCTTACAGCCATTTTCATAGTCTCCACTAACATCAGAGATGAAGAGGGGTGAACATATGTGCTATCCTATGGATTATTTGTTTTCATTTGGCTACCAGAGATTTAAAATTGGTGGTATGGAACTCACTACCCTATATTTATATATATATACAGGTATAATACAATTTTGGTGAGTAAAGTTGAAGGTTTCCACATTGCAAACAGAGGCACTGAGTTAAGGATTCTATTTTTCCTCAAACATGCTTAGCAAATTCAAGTTTCTGCTTTTTTTTTTCTTCTTCTTCTTCTTAATTTCCATCATGCAGCCATTTAATTTCCATCCTTATAAGAATTATTAATGTTCTATGTACACATTCATCGCAGGCTTGTATCCCACAATAACAAATCCGCATATGGAGAAGGTGAAATGACACTTGGAAACCAAGATGTGTAAAATATTGAAGTCATTTATGCCATGTTATGACTAGATTAAATATTCAAAGCAGCTAAAGGAATATCTGCACACCCCCATTTTGTACTGCACACAAATCATATGTAGACAGAAAAACTGAACGTATGTTAAGAGCACACCCACTTTGTTACTTAAGAATCACACCATCATGGGCAGCTTCGCAATTGATGTCTGTGGTATTATACTGGCTATAAAAGAAAGAAAGCTCACAAAAGGAAATCAGAAATTAGCTTTCTAAAGCATATTGAATTAATGACTTTGACAGCAGAAGCTACTTTATAAAAAGGGAAAACAGCAATGGTATTAATGGAAAAACTAGGTGCCAGATGTGTTAACAACCTGCACAGAATAAATTTGTTCTATGTGAAAATAATGATCCCACCCCTACCTTGATTTCAGCTCGCAGACAGTAAGCAAATACATACGCTATCTCCTTGTCTTCTGAAAGTAGAATTTTGCTTTCTAAAGCCAAACATTCTTATTAAGTACTACTGCATGGAGAGGGAGCCATTGAAAAGTCCAAGGGGTTTGATAAAAGATTAAGTTTTCCCACAAGCAAAATTCATGCTTCCATACCATGCAAAGAGGTTTTCTTACTATGATACTATCATTCTTAAGGAAAAGATGCACTGTTATCTAAGCTATTTGTGACTGGTTTCCTTTGAGTACTGGGTCTATTTTTCCTTTAAGCTAAATGTCAGACTATAGATAAAGAAACGATGGTGCTGGGCTCCTGGGTCCAGCGCCTGCACCTTGGGGGCGGGTGTCAATCTGCAAAAGACAACATGGAGTGCTGAGCACTGGGGGCGGGGGTCGGGGGAGCAGGCACTGGCCACCACTGAGGCTGAGGGAAGGAGAATCTGCTCCTTGGTCTACACTGTTTCCTTTGGAATCTCTGTTTTGGGAAGGCCCCTTTCCTGAGGTTGGAGGTGATGGTCAGAAAGGCTAGCTAGGGCGTGGGCTCAGGAGTTGCCCAGTTACCTTGTTTTCTTCCTCTCGTGAAGGACAAATATCAATGCCGAGATTCTGCTTGCCCTTCCTTCTGTGTTTAAAGGCAGTGAGGTGCAACAGTGACAGATTTCTCTTTGGACCAAAAGAGAATTCTTTCTGCCACTTTGATGAATGATCTTGCCTCCTGTCAATCTTGTTTGAATCTTGCATTCACACCACTTGCAGAAATGAAAGCAAGACTCATGGACATTTATTATTATTCCTTCTTCTTTTTTGGGGAGTGGGTACTTAGGGATTGAACTCAGGGGCACTCGACCACTGAGCCACATCCCAAGTCCTATTTTGTATTTTATTTAGAGACAGGGTCTCACTGAGTTGCTTAGCACCTCGCTTTTGCTGAGGCTGGCTTTGAACTTGCAATCCTCCTGCCTCAGCCTCCCAAGCTGCTGGGATTACAGGCATGTGCTACTACGCCCAGCTATCATTCCTTCTTTTTACAAATAGGAGCCACCAGTTCTGCTCAGGCTCTCCTCTCCCTTGGCAGTATTTACTGATTTCTGCAACATTCCTAATATCTGGATCTTTCTTTCTTTCTATAGTGCTGGGGATCAAACCCAAGGACCCCCACAAACTAGGCAAGTGCTCTATGACTGAGCTACACCCCCAGGCTCCAAAATTTGGATTTTAAGGAAGGAGCAAGAGAATGACAGTCTTTTCTAAGGTCTGGTGGTGGGCGATCCATTCCAGGGATGTCTGGATGACTAAGGAAAATCAGGAGAGGAATGGGAGACAATTCCCTTTTTCATGGTCTGCATACCAGACCTCTAACAGTGTTAAAGCCCAGTTAGCTTATTCTACCCTTGGATATCTTCAAATGGGCAAATAGTCAATGAATTCTATTCAGTTAATTGCAAATTCTGAGAATCTTAATGGATGATGGTAGCTGACAAGTCAAGGTTTGTTGGTACCTGTACAGAAAAAAAGATGCTTGTTTCACCTGGGTCTCTTGGTTCCTAAACTAAACCACTCCAAAATAAATTGGTTATAGTCACATATGTTCATGCAATTCTGAAAGATTTCGGAGGCCACAAGGGCACAAGGGGAAAGTTATTAAAAGGCAGAAACAAGTGGAAATCTTTATTATTAAATTCTGTGAAAGGTATAAATAAGTTATCATCAATTGCAGTTGGAGCCTCTATACGTCCGTAATTAAAATTTTCAAAAATTTAAGGAGTTAACTAGGCCCCAAATCCTGAGTCAGATTAATCAAAATCTCAGTAACTACTGGTATTCAAGTATTGGTGGTCAGCAGTTCAAAATTTAACAATTAGGTTTGTGATGCCTGAGAGTATTTTTTGAGAATTTCAGGTCTGATGGGAGGAAATCGACTTTACTATTTTACCACACTTGGCAACAAAGTGGTATGAAGTTTTCATATATTTACCCTTGAAGTCCATGCCAGCCTCACCAAATGCCCAATACCAAGGCTTCCTCCCTGACTTATAGCTGTGTCTACAGAAGGTCCCTTCTGGTTTTTTGCAAGTCTCACATCTGAAATATACTATGACGCTGTGTGGCATACTTAGGATTCATAGTATTTGTGAAATTACTTTACCCCATGCACACTCAGAGATCAAAGGAACATGTTTGAGTGACAAAGCAGTCTTTTCCTATATCAGAAGATTCTTCGAAAACAACAACAACAACAACAAAATGAAAATATAAAACCCATGAGATCTCCGGGTGCGGTCACTCTGACTTGGGCCGACGTGGCTTATCTGAGGAGTGCATGCCAGGTAAATTCAGAGTGGCTCTTTTCTCAGGGTCTGGAAGCGTGAGAGTTTCTGGAGCTGACTTTTTCCGGGGTCGATCTTTGGGAACTGACAGAAATTCTGGTGCATCTGTGGAGAGAGGGGTGGACGGGGCGCTGGACGGGGCGCTGCGCACGGAAGAAGGCAGCAGGGGAATGCTCGAGATAGAAATGGCAGGTGGGAAAACGCCAATTTTCTTGTTGGTGGCTTCCTGAGTGGCTCGTTCAAATTCGCGGACTTCATCCATTGTCATGTCTTCAAAGGGAAAGAAAGAAAACTGAGCTGTCACTTAGAAGAGATGCAAACAGATTCATCACTTCACCTGGCTTCAAAGGAACTCTGGGAGCCCCATCATTAAGGGGGCTCTTTCTGATCACACACCCAAATTGTCATGGAAATACTAAATCCTCAGTTATTTTCCATTTTACTGAGACACACCCTGGAAACAATATTCCTTTGTGTACACCCATCTAAGATCTTCCAGAGCATTATTGAGCCAGTATTTTGAGTATTCTGGATAAATACTTAAAAGAGGAGTACAGGACTAGACCCAGATAGAGTGTGTGTGTATGTGTGTGTGTGTGTGTGTGTGTGTGTACAAATGTGTGTGAGCGCGTGTGTGCATGCATTGCGGGTATTGTGTCGGGTATATTTGGCTAGTATTAGACCTGGTCATCTCTTCTATAAAGAGAAAGTAATTAAAGCAATCAGTGGTCCTGAAATGATACATATTATTGTCATCTTCAGATCAAAAAAAAAAAAAAAAAAAGAAAGAAAAGAAAAAAAACCCTGATATATCTCTATAAGGTAAATTCAGGTAAATAGCCAGAATTTCTCAAAATGCTGTCTTCTTATTTAATAAATACACTCATTTTTTTTTCTTTTTCTTTTTTCTTTTTTGGGTATTCTGAAGAGGCACGGAGGTGCTGTTGTTCCTGGTTTCCTAACTATGTATCCGCTATGAGATTATTATGTTTTAATTCAGCTTAAAATACAAATAAGAAGACAACAATAATAAACCTAAAAATTACCCCAAAGCCAAGAAAATAAAACCATTTCTCAAAGCAACTTGAAAGAAAAATAATAGAGAATGAAAAGGGAGGATCATTTAATGAGCAAGGATTGTTTTTAAGAGGAAAAATTCATTATCTGTAATTCAACAGATAAGTCAGCGATGCTTCATTTAACAGGCATTGTCAGGTGATGTAGATTTTCCAAATACCTAAAACACCCTTCTTAAGTGAGAAATTAAAAGCAGCATTTTAAAAGATGTAAACCTTTCCCTAATGAATTTAATGCATACACACTTACTACCTTGAAGACACGCTATATTGTGTCACTGTGCAACTATCCAGGGATGATTCTTTTCTCAGGGTCTGTTCTTTATAGCTTCCTATCACTTTTCTCATTTTCAGAAACTGTATTATTAATGTTATTACTATTTATTTATTGCAGGGCTGGGGATTGAACCCAGGGCCTAGCGCATGTCTAGCAAGCACCCTACCACTGAGCTACACCCCCAGTCCTGTCAGAGTTACTATTAACTACTGCCAGTCTGGTAACCTTTGACATTTTATTTACCAGGAATAGGGCAACAGGTAACTGGGCTTATTAGAATAGGCACCGAGTGAAGGCCTAAGGGCTTGTCTTTGAGTAAAATGTGAAATCTGCTGCCCATGGATTTTCATCTATTTTGACTTTCCAGAGACTCATTTTTCATTCTCTCTTGTCCTCTGTCATGAACTTAGTAATTGAAACTTCCTTAGATAATGCTTCATGACTAAACTGTTGTGAAACCACATAGCCATTCTAGAAATATTAAGTATGGAATGAACATTCATGATACAGTATTAATCATTAGGTTTTATAACATCTGAGCAAACCAGAAACTTTCCATAAAATGAAATCCTTCTGAATAATTATTAAAATTTCCTGAAAGGGAAAAGTTTTTATAAAAATAAAAAATAACAACTGTGTTGACATAATATAAAATTCACAATATATCCTATTAATTTACCACTTTGTTTTCTTTCTTTTTTTTTTTTTTTAGTGGTACTAGGGACTGAACCTAGGGGTGCTCTATGACTGAGTTACATCCTCAATCCTTTTTATTTTTTATTGAGACAGGGTCTTGCTAAATTACTGAGGCTGGCCTTTAACTTGTGATCCTCCCACCTTGGCCTCTGAAGTTCCTGGGATTGTAGGCATGCGCCACTGCACCTGGCAATTTATTCTTCTAAAAAATACTAAGGCAATTAGCTAAGAATGAGATTAAGGTTAAAAAAGGAGTTATTTACTTTGAAGTAAAGTCAAGACTCTCAGAAAAATTTTACTGAATTGAACTATGGTGTGTTTTTGAGAGAATAAACAAATAGCATCTTTGAGAAATTAGACTTTCTAACCAGCATCTGTGCATGGTGCTCTACTTCATGCATCCATCAGGGGGCAGAAATCATCCAGAGCACAGAATTTTAATTTTCCATTCCTAGTCCCTTAGAAGTTCCCTTCCTTGAAGGCTTTGAAAGCCCTCAATTGAAAACAAGACTGTTATTTCCTTATGCTGTGTTCAGGGATGTTAATTTTTCACAATTTCAATCTAATCTATCCTTGCTCAGGTGGATTATTTAAATTTCATTTAGCACCCATGCAGGTTTTATTTGTGATGCATAGCAGCTTCTTGATTTTAACTGTTTTTTTTTTTTTTTCCATTGTGATAGTGTAGAGAGACTGTGGAAAGATAAATGATCCTCAATTTCATGGAATTCCAAAGAATAAAGGAAATGTCACAAGCTTTCAAAATCATCACTTTGTGTAACTTATCAGTGGGTAGGGTATATCTTACACTGAAGTCACAACTGTGATTTGCAGCCAGAGAATGCATGGGACTTCTAGCTTATCAATTGTACATAGTGAAACTGACTTTATAATACTCAGAGTAAAACTAAAAGAAAACCAAGCAAAGAGCCTTAAGCTGCAAACTTCAAGAAATGAGAAGGTGAAAAGCACTGGCTTGGTGCCCTTGAGACATCCCCAGTGTCCCCTTTCCCTGTGGCTTGGTCCTATGTCTGGTCATATTTATAGTGATCAGCTTTCAGATCAGTTGAGGAGGAACTAGTATCTGACATTTCAAAAGGAAAAGGCCATTGAAAGTGACGAAAATTCAAGAATAGTTTCCTTAAAGACATTTCTAACTTTAGAACAGGGAGAGAGGAGTGGGAAGTCTTATCGGAATGTGTACATTGGTGGAAGGGAAACACTTCAAGTGAGTCTTGCCCCAACAGTTTCCTGCAAACCCAATCACTGCATGCAAAGCAGGGCAGGAAGAGTTAGGGCCCTTGCAGACTCAAGGGCAGTCACATGCAGCCAATGGCAGCCCGTAAGCTTTTCAGGCACATTCCAAAGTCATGCTCTAAAATCTTAACTAAAATTTCCAATGTGCAACCAGAAGGTCTTCACGATCTTAAAGCATCTATTTACAACAACAGCCACTTCTCAATTTTCTCTACCTACATTCTTGAATTTTTTTTTTTTTTAATCTAATATGTATTATTCCAGGCCCTGGGCTGACAGACAACTCAAGCTGGACCCCAAAGAAAACCCAGCTCTTTGTATGGCTGAAATGGTGATTATCATTTTAATACCAAGTATGGTGATTACTTTTTTCTTTGTTGACTGTTTTTCCTTTCACTAGCAAAAAGGATGTAGAGATGACTCTATTTAAGATGCTGGTGAACACCACAAGCTCTTAATTTCCCATGTGCGACTAAATAACCTCAGGCTCTGAGGCTTTTGCTAAGTCCCAGGCTGGATCGTCTGTGCAGCTCAGCACATTTCCCGTGATCAGCCCTTCACCACTCAGCCTGTCTGTGTGCAGACTGCAGTTCTGTCTTGAGATTACCCTAAGTAAAAAAGAACTGATTGGGTAAAATAGCTATAAAGAGCCTTAGGAAGCATTTCAAAGCACATGTAAAGAAACCTAAAATAGCAGATGAGCCAGAAGCCCTCCTCTGAATGAACAAGTAAGTGTTAACTATGTTTTCAAAAGTTACTGACATGTTGTTCTGGTTTACATACGACACCCAGTTTTTACTCCTATGCTCTTTTTATGTTCAGTGCAGGCCATTTCACTAGTATCACAATATGTTTCCACTCTCCATGTTCTTGGTTTTATGACCAAAACAACCCCCAAATCAAGCAACTTTAAAGAATTGAAATGTCTGGAAGAGAGAGGCCACACTGCCTGCTCTAGACCCAGCTCAGCATCTTCACCAACAGCCTCTTGGGCAATGACATGATTTTGTGGACGGTTGGGAAAAGAGCATTTGCAGTATTTCAAAGATCAGTTTACGTGTTTGTTTTCATACAGGGTGGGCAACATGTTTTAAAAATTCTACATACACTTGTTTGGGCATGGCTCTCTATGTCATCCACAGTGGAGGAATGCTGATTGCAAACTTTTATGTTGGTTTGTTCATGCATGTTTTTCTCGTATTCCCGAACATCATCCATTGTCATATCTGAAAGAGGTCAAGATGTTGGCAACTTCCGTTATTAAACGCAAACTTTCCATGGGGAGACTTTAGGGAAAGATGGTAGCTTAGCAGTAGCCAGAGAGGTTTTAAAAAGCAGGGAACTGATTAACTTTATGAGGAATAAATCATAAAGTTAGTTAAACCAGCCAAAGGGGGAATAAGGGCAAAGAAGTTCAGTCAAAATAGACTTAGAACAGAGAAGAGTGGAAATTACTTAGGGGTGATTCTTGTGAAGTGAGCTTGGTGGTAGAAAGTATTAGCATGTGGCCAGTGCGTAGCCTGAGATCTCCTAAAGCTTCGTTAGAAGATCCCTTTGGGGACAGAGGGTCAGGATTATTTGGTTTAATACTTACCTTCCAAATGCCTTTCCAAGTACATTGAGAGTCTTTCAATCAATGCATTCAACAACAGAAAGGACACTTTCACTGCTATCATAGGAGAGAGGACGTAGAAGGCAGAGCACTGACATTCAGGTACAGGAGAGGCTTGGTGCCATTCTCTCACGGATACATTTTTGCACAGATACATGGTATCAGAGAGTGCAGGTCTACACTGAGCTTTGAGTCTAGCCTAACAGCTTGAAGATGGCTGGCACAACTTCCACCCACACTGATCTATAAATAAAATGGCACATGACATGATTTTTGGCCCTAGTCTGCAGTGTTTCAGGATAATGATCTCTTAATCCAGTAGTTCTCAACAGTGGACAATTTTGTGACATTTTTGGTTGTCATAACTGTGGAAGGGGTTCTACTGGCATCTATACAAGAGGGCAGAGGCCAAGGATGCTGGGGAACATTTCACAATGCACAGGACTTCCAGCCCCCAACAAAGAATAATCTGATCTAAAACATCCACAGTGCTGAAGTTGAGGAATCCTGTCTTAGTTCAACTGTTTAAAAAACTTAAAAGAAAGAACCCGTCCATCTTCAGTATGTGAAATGCATAAAATTGACAATTAGTCTCACTTTAAATACTCCCTTGGTTTTATTCCCTACCCCCACCCCTCTCCTTGCATTTTATCAGCAGTTTCTCCAGATGGGCACTCTGCTACTGCTGCCTTGACATAATTTAATGCTGTGCCTCTTAACCAATGAAGGTAGCCCATGGATTGCTTCATCTACCACCCCAATCTCTAACTGGCTTGGTGGGGGATTTACAATGGGTATTCACAGTTGAAATTTTTCCTTAAGTATTTTCTGTGTCATGTGGTTTAGTGTCTTTTTATATCAATCCAAGTGTCATGTGAGATTTCTCTTCATTTCCAAAGGGCAGACATGCAGAACTTATGATTTAATTCTATGTGGTCTAGGGCCAAGATGGAGGAGCATGGCTCTAAATCCAGACCTGGGCTATTTTATTTAGCAGATAATCCCCCTCCTGCCCTGAAATCACTGATCAAAAATGCTGTCGTTACGCAATATAAGTATCAAGAATGCTAAGCAGCAGTCTGGCCAGGCAAAGAGCATGCTTTTTTTTTTTTTTTTTAGAAAACAGAGACATCTGCGAAGCAATAGGAGATGCTGCTTTATGATTAGAATAAACACACTTAGTTAACAACAACACATTCTTCAATACAATCATGTTAATTTCAATGGCTGATTTTCAAAATATCTTAAACACACCTGGAATAAATATTAAGCCACCTGAAAGTTTAAAATTTAAATAAGTTTCTCTATACAAATGTCATTACACTCCTAATTTGGAAAACAAAAGCAAGTAAGTTTTAGTTTTATTTGCTCTAGGGAATCCCAACAGAAATCATTCTTTATCTCTAATTAGCTCAATGTTAGAAGAAGGGCCTAAATAGTGTGACTATGTGCTTTCAAAGATGTAGCAGTTTTATGAATGTGAAAAAGGATTTAACAACAAAGATGTTCATTACTGCCTTGGTCTTTCTCTCTCTCTCTCTTTTTTTTTTTTTTTTGGTACTGAGGATTGAACTCAGGTACTGTATTACTGGGCTACATCCCTAGTCCTTTATATTTTTTATTTTGAGAGTCTCACTAAGTTTCTTAGGGCCCTGGCTAAGTTGCTGAGGCTGGCCTTGAACTTTCGATTCTCCTGTCTTGACTTCCTGAATTTCTGGTATGTGCCACCACGCCCAGCTTGTAGAGATAATCTTGAGTTATTGTTAAATAAAAAACATGAGGCAAAACTGAACACGTTATAATTTTAGTATGAAAAGCGTCATCTACATTTTAAAACAATGAAAGCATACATTGCACAATGTTTACAGTGATTGAGTTGGAATTCCAGATAATCTTCATTGCCTTTCTTTTTTTTTAATCCACGTTTTCTAAATTTTCTGCATCAATTATGCATTAAATTATGCATTACATAAGAAAGAACAGAATATTATTTAAAAATCTATTCATTTGGAATCATTAGAAGATGAATACCATCAATTTGGAACTGGTAAGGAGAAAAAAATCCCTTGTTTTTTTAAAAAAATGAAAAGTTAAGGAACAAAATTTCAACATGTGGGGGTGGGGCTTGCCTAGTATGTTTGAGGCTATAGGTTTGATTCTGGCACTGCAAATCAAAGCAAACAAACACCAAAAACCCAAATTCAGAAAATTGCACCTAAAAGAAAAAAAAAAAAAAGATCTTACCTATGTAAGAATGAACATTTACAATAGGGTATTTCTCTAAAGGATGATAATTTGGTCCCTGCTGATGCCAAAGGAAAATACCTTTGTCTAAGTCCTTAAATATCCCCACAGACGATGAATGTGTATGGAAATGATGTATGAATTTTCAATATTCCTTGGAAACTTATGGAAATTCTAATCAAGTGAAAATGTTACAGGTTATTTGGTAAAGTGCATTTTTTTTGCTTTTACAACATATATTACCTTGAGATCTATATCTGAATCAATTCTTTAGAAAATTCAATTACATATGCCCAAAGACAGATTATACTTTCAGAGATGATTCATCTTCATTATTGATTGATTTTCAATGATCAGAACAGCTTCTCACGATTTAGTTCCAGCATTTGCATCAAACAAACTCTTAATGAAAGGAATCCTATGTCAGTTATGTTGCAAATAAATTGGTAAATAACTACCCCTTAACTTAGATTTTGAAAGGTTATAATTTGCTTTTCCTAAGTAAGGTTTCTTAAACCAAGGCTTCTGAAACAAGTAACACTGGAGCTAATTGTCTGATTTAAGCGTTGGAACCAGTACAATATTTCTTCTGATAAGGCAAATGAATCTAGTATCTTTGGAGCTTTGCTGTCAGAGTTTCACTGACACGATCAGCACTAGGAAGTCTTCCAGAGGTGTAAATTCTCTCACTGTACCTCAAGGGGACAAAATTTCCTCCTTGTCCTTTGGAAAAGCCATTTCTTTCCTTATCGTCTCTTTCCTTGTCCTATATTAGGTAAGGAGAGAGCGGCCGGAGTTGCATTTCCCAGGATGTGAAGGTCACACTGCATGGGGCCCTAGTGGAAACCTCTTCTCTGCCAGGTGCCCGGGTGGAGGTCCAGGCAAAAAGTGCTCTAGTCCTGGGGATTTGTGAATTGAGGAATCTTCTTAGGTTTCCTAAA